ACAGAAAGAAAGAAATAAACAAATGAAGCAAAGAAAGGAAGGAGAATACAACCAATAAAAAATGCTGGTGGGGTTGTGGGGGAAAAAGGAACCCTTCTCCACTGTTGATGGGAGTGCACACTGGTGCAACCACTATGGAAATCAGTATGGAGATACCTCAAAGAACTGGGATTAAAGGTCCCATTTGACCCAGCTATTCCCCTGCTGGATATCTTCCCAAAAGAACTAAAAGAAGCATAAAAAAGTGATATATGTACACCCATGTTCATAGTAGCACAGCTCACAATAGCTAAAACTTGGAAACAGCCCAATTGCTCAACAACTGGAGACAAAATTTATTAATTATCCTATCAAGCAAGTAAGCTGGTACACAACACTTGTTAGAAGGAGGATCAGAGAGCAGATCAATAAAAAATGACAGAAGACAGATTTAGATAGCTGAAAGACTGATAATGCTGTAGCGATGATAATATAGTTGTAATTTCTGAGATACACTGAGGACAGAGCAGTAGTTCAAGACTGGGGGGAAGAGAGTTAGCCTGACATAGTGGACAGATTGGATTTGCAATGCCTTTCAATTTCCTACACTGTTTCTGTTCCCCGACTGACCAGGCATCATGAAGTTTAAATTTAAATTCTTATAGCTTAATTTATAAAGGTCATTCAAGATTCTCTGACAAAAAGTATAAGTACATTGAGACATTTATAGCAGTGGTCAGAAAAACAGAAGACATGTTTGTTTTTCTGCTTCTGTTTTTCCAGTGAAACATCTCTCTTCAGTATTAAAAATAAAAAGTGCCTTTTACATTGAAAAATAAAGTTGAGAAAATAATCACTCAATATATTTTCTAATTCATCTATTATTGGTTATATAAAAACATACACATTCAAACATCTTTTTCACATTTTATTCTTCCTTGAAATTTCCACATGCTTTCCTTTTAATTTTTTTAAACTTTGTTCTTTTATATGTTACTGTCCACTTCTCTGTCTTTATACATTACAGTTCACTTCTGTTTTTGTTCTCCATTGGCAAGCCTCTTTTTTAACTGCACTCCTAGGATTTAGAACTTTAAAAGTTTGCAATGTTCACTTTTCCAAATAAAACATATTTTGAAACTCTTTTAATATTTCTACACTAAAGCATATCCCAAATTACAGAAAATGCCCCTGAAATCTTAAAAATGATGGCACAATATTTTCAGGCTTTTAGTAAATGTACACTGAATAAAAAGTGCAAAGAAAAACATTCCCTTAAGAGTACTATGTTGCTTCTAAATTCCCTAAAGTGTCTCTGGTTTTGAACACAATTTTCCTCTACATCCTCATATGTTTGATCAAGTAAAATGTCACTACAATGTCTTTTGAACTTAAAACACTTGTTACCAGAGAATCAAATGAATCCTTTCTCACAGATTAGTCAAAAATGTAAAATTCACTCTTTCTTACAAGGATAAGCTATTAAGCATGAAAATATAGAGGTGTAATATATTAACCCAAAGAAATCACTAAATCATAATAATAGGCCAGTGGTAAAAGACAACTTTCTACCTGCCACTAACAATTATTTTTTAAAAGGCCTTCTTTTTCTTCCTTCTGTGTCTTCAGGACAACTTGTGTGTATTTCTACCAGGCATTATTTTATCCAGATGGTAAAACTAATATATACTTTGCTTGCCATAAGATTTTTAAAATAATTCTGACCCAAAATAAAAATGGTATGACTCTCACACTTTTGAAAACCTTCATCTCTTCCCGGGGGCTAGCAAGCTGTGACCAATAGGGAGGCACCAGTCAAAGAGACTATAAAAGGAGAAGATTTGAAAGTTTCAAAGACAAAACAAACAATACTGTAAGCACCAAACTGGCTCAGGAAGCTGAGCTACTTGAAGTGTCTGTAAATCTGAATGTCACAGCCGACACACTTGTGGAGTGTTTGAAGATGTGTGATACTTTGCTTCACTTAAAATCAGACGGCCTAAGTAGACACAATGGCAAAATGAAATTAATGCTTGTAAGTCACTTAGGCAGGAAAAAAGGTGAAGGATTCCAAGGTAGTAGGTAAGAAGGAAAGAAGAATGCTGCTGGCCTCTTTCTTTTTTTTTTTTTTCCCCCCCTGTGTTTAAGAGTGGAGAAAATTCATTTACATGGATGTACTCTGTGGAGCTTTACTACTGTGTGAAGCTAAATCTCATTATCCTTAACTGTAAAATGGGCCTTCATTAGCTTCACATTGTTTTCGTAACAAGTTACCACAAACCTACTGACTTAGAAACATGGCCCAGATGTATTATCTTATAGTTTTAGGCATCAGAAGAAACAGATCACTGGGCAAACACCAAGTGGTCAGCGATACTGCATTTCTTCTGGGGGCGTCTACTGGAAAACTCTTCTCTATGCCTCCTCCAGCTTCTGGAGGCCGACCCAATGCCTTGACTCTTGCTTGGCTCATGTCTCCCTTCATCTTCGGAGCCAGTTGTGGCCATTCAAATTTCTCACATTTCACCAAGCTGACTCTGACTCCCCACCTCCCTATTTTAATGATAAGGACCCTTGTGATTATACTGGGCACTAAAATAATCCAAGGTGTCCTCTCCCATCTCAATAACAGCTCCTTAAACTGCCTTAATTCCATCTGTATTCTCATGTCTCCCTTGCCGTGTACAAAAGATTATCCACAGGCTCTGGAGGTCAGTCAATGGAGATCATTGGGAGCCCTATTCTGCTTACCACAGACTTCACAAGGCTGAAACAACATACAGAACGCTCACATACTGCCTATAGGAAGCACTCAATGAACATTATTCACACATTAGTATTTACCAAACAAAGTGGCTATGAATTGCTAAATCTAACATAACCTAACAAAGCCAGAGTAAACAATGAATATATAATGAATAGCTGCATTCTTTTTTAAGTATTTAGCTGAACATCCCTATTTATGCCCATCACATTATGCAACATTCCTATTTATGTCTTCCTTATAGCATAGGTTCCTTATAGTTTCCAAATGCTTCCTTATAGCATTTTATAGATTGAAAGCATCTGTCACACAGAGGCTTTCATGAGATCGTTGTTTTAGCAGTGACAATCAGAGTATGTGAAGGGAAACTGTTGACTTGCTGGAGTAAGAACAAAGGTACGACTGTAAGCAAGCAGAACACGTCTCAAAGAGGAGTCACAGACATAGAACGTCAAGTAGAAACCTCTAAGGAGAAAATCGGGAGCTCTACTGCTTTCCATTATGTGCTATTCAATTCTGAGATCTAAATTGCCCCTGATTTTTTATCTTTTAATCACTCTACAGAAGTTAAGTGTCTTTGGGAGACACTGCAGAGGGGAGCATACATTTCATCCCATTGATTCTAAATTAATTTGATCTTTTAACTCCCAGCTACTAAGCTTTCTGAGCTGCTAAAAGAAACATTAGGGTGATGTTTTTTTCTTTGTCACAAATAAAACCCAAAAGTAGAAGCTGAGGATTTTGGTTAAATTATGTTTAATATTTATTTCCACTCAAGTAGAAATAGAAAAAAATGTATATTTTCAATTATAATATAAACATCAAAGTAGCAAATTTAAGAATTTTAAGGAGTAAATCTAAAACTATTTAAGATTTATGTATATCCTCCTTCAAAGCATACCAACAGCTGACGGTTATATCTTTTCCCTGGAGACTATGAACATTAATTTTTTAAAACTCTGGAAGAGTTAACTCCCACAGGAAGCTAAAAGGATGGACAGTTTAGCTTCTTCAAATCAATACCATAAATTTGCCATTAATTTACCCAGTGAATAATAAGGTACTGGAGTTAATTCTTTATTGAAGTTGGAAAGGGTCACATTGCCTGTTATCGAAAATTATTTTTAAACCTCAACACTGGGACTATTGCACATTACTAGTCAATATGTTATGTCCAAATAATATGTCCATAAATTTGATGGCTATAGCAAGTATTTATAGTCTTGAGGAAATGTCCTGGGTTTAGATAGACTATGTTGAATAACACTGTAAATTGCATACATTTCAAAATATTGAATACTATACTTATAATTCCAATGATATTTTAAGTCAAATGTTAGAAGTAAAAAAATAAAATGGGAATAGATTTCACAGTCAGAATAATAGAAATTCTTTTTTTACTTTTAGATTTAAAATGAGAATCTTCAAATTAGATTCATTCATAGGAAAATGTATACAGTTTGAGGATATACTCCTAAGTGAAATAAATAAGTCACACGTGTAAATACTGAATAGTTTCTCTGGTGTGAAAAACTATAATAGTACACAATATCCTAATGAGATAACTGACGTTGTGAAATGGGAAGAAAAGGGCTAAAGGTGTAGGGAAAGTGGGAAGGGTAGGGGGAAAGGTAATAAGAGAAAAAAATATGAGATAATGAAAAAATGGAAATAAAGAGTTTGTAAAGGGGGAGGGGAGAAGGGGTGAAGGGAGGGCAGGGACAAGGGGAAAAAATGAGAACCAAGACCTGTCATGTGAAGGAACAAGATCCCAGTGATGAATATAACTGTACTGTATACCTAAAATGTACCAACAAACTCAATAAAAAGAATCTTCTAGAACTTCCAAAAAAATGAAAATCTTATTGTTGAAATTAAATATCGATCATGCCATGGAGGACAATAACACCAATTCTGGGTAGGGACTAGAATAGCTGTCAGAAACAAATACCTGTTGACCATGTGACCTCTCTGAGATTTTGTTTTCTCTCTTTAAAAGTATTTCAACCAATATGAAGCTCCAAGAGCTCACCAAGATCCTCATTTTACAAAGAATAAAACTATTTGAAACCTAACAAATTGAAGTAGCCTCAGATAGACAAACTGGGATTTATACACTGTAGTCTTGCCGTTCCACTAGGCTGTTGCTAAGGTTCTCGATGACCTTACCGACCCTCACACATTCTACCTCCTATCCCTGTGGTAAGCACTATGGAAAACAGTGATAAATGAGAACCTCAAACTGTGCCCCACTCACTTGGTATGCTACGAAGCGGAGGAGGAGGCACATTACTAGTAGCTGTCATCTGAGAGAAAATCGCTGATGGAAGAGTAGACAGAGGCATCTTAGCTCAAAGGCAGCTGAGCAGAGTGGCTACGTGGGAGGTGACTAAGTCTCTTCACTTTTGTTGTCATAAAGGAGAACGCTGAGGTACTCTCTGATAGGCTGAGTCCTGTAGAATCTTCCTGTTCACAGAGCTGTATCCCAGTGGCATTTAAATGGGGCTGGGGCTGTGTGTGCTATGGGGAATGTGACAAAGCAGTTGTAGGCCATAAGGCAGATACAGCAGAATGGAACCCATACGTCTGGATTAGGTAAAAGAATTCATTTCTGTTGGTGTTCCATAGTCCAGAACCTTTTACTACCCACCATATGGCAACCACAGAGCCTTTCTGTAGGAACAAGAAGAAGAGTAGAATATTTATACCTTCCATGGCTGCACGCGTAAGACAAAACATGATTTCTAGTTATGGCACATCAATTATCTCACCCCTGGTTATATTTCATCATATTCTGAGTGTGGCATATGTTTTCCATTACTTTCTGAGGTCATGCATTAATTAAGGCTGATTGTGAAGGCTATAGTATAGCATCTTAATTTTTCTTATATTTTTTCACTGTGTGTCATCTTTTGAAGTCTTTAAAAATTTTTCTCTAAGAACTCTTACAGGTAATAAATGAAAGAACTGTGGCCATCAAATAACACAGCTGGACTAGTAAAAGTGTTATTCATTTTTCAGCCAACTTAATCTGTGTAACATGAATAGCTAGAATTTAAAAGTGTCTGTTTTATTACAAAAAGTAACAAGTGTATTTTACAATGCCCCCTATTAAATTGCATATGCACAATACGTTTAGTCCAGCACATTTTTTTTCATTTAGCATACATTTTCCTGTCCTCCTATTTAAAAGCACTGTGGACCCCATCTTGTTGAATCTCATAACTGTTCTTTACCTGTATTTCTTCCACACTAGCCAGTAAGTTATATACCTCCACTTACCTCTGTGCCCCTCACAGTGAAACCGGGCCCTTCCAACTGTCTCCCTTTGATAATTCCTCATATCTTTATTCTACAAACTATCCTGGAACATTTTTTTCCACTCACATTTAAAACTCAAAGAATGAAGACCACTTTATGAAAATTATTAAAGTGATACTGAATTTTTCTTGGATGTTCAGCAGATGGAGCTATAAAAAGTGTGTGTGTGTGTGTGTGTGTGTGTGTGTGTGTGTGTGTGTGTGTGTGTGTGTGTGTGTGTGTGTGTGTGTGTGTGTGTGTGTGTGTGTGTGTGTGTGTGTGTGTGTGCGCACACGTGTGTGTTTTAAACTTCGACAAGCTGATCTGATTGAACAAATATAAAAAAGAAAGTTTTCTAAGGCCTAAGTTCATACTGATCAATTTCCTCTCTGATTTCACGTCTATCAATTATATTTACTTATTTTCTAATTTCTTCTCTTCTATGTTTCTGTTTTCAGAAACCTTTTATGTATTTCATATAAAATACACTCTGCATATTGAAATCTATGTAAGAGCATATTAATTTCACATTAAACTAGACCTTGCTTGAAAACAATTTTGAACAAAGAAAACATGAGAAGTGAAATTGCGGGTAAAGAAGAATATTAAAGAGGAAAAAGCAAAATAAATTGAAATTGCTTAATTTTATCTAATTCGGTCTGAGTGACATGATTTTGTATTTGCATTTGCTTGAACAAACAGAGAAAAACCTTCAATTCATAAACTCAGCTCCTCCCAAATGATTTTAATTAGTCTTTCCATTTTAAATTTCTTCCAAGAACAATAACATAATTATATTATTTGACTTAGACAGATATATTAAATTGTCATTGCCTGGTCATTCCACATAAGTCTAATCACTTCTTGACCATTTATTTGTAAATTTATTTGGGACAAGTTATTTGTTTTGCCTTATGCTTAATAACCTATTCTATACAATGGGGATGATGATAATACCTCATATAAGTTATATCAATATTAAATAAAATGAAACTCTGAGCCACACACACAGTACCTAAATATACTAATCATAAATTTTCATTTCTGTTAGTACCAGTGATGTTATTATTGCTGAGGTAAACCTTGAGATATTTAAATGAATAAGAAAAGATTAGGATAAGAGAATTAGTGACCAGAGACAAGTATTTGAGAAAAAGCACACATTTTTTAAAGAGAACTTTTTGTAACTTTTGAAATGTAAAATATAACTACACTCTTCCATCATTCTATTAGAATAGACTTTTCAATAAATATCTGTATTTCAGTGAGATTTAGAGGTCATGGAAGAATATGATAAAATTGACCCAGAGGAGTGCTAGGAAGATCATGATCACATAGTTTTGATGAAGAGGCCATTTGTATGTAAAGTGCATATCGAGAATGTTTTCAGAGCATAATTTCATCCATCAGTTTTGATACCCTTTTTATAAATTCATGAAATTTCAAATAGCATTAACTATATAAAATATACAAATATATTTGACCAAAGTCTGGGAAACAGAAAATGTTTGTACTTTAAAAAAGGAAAGAAGGGAATGGAATTTACAGAAGAAAATGAAAAAAAAGGAAACAAAGTCTTAGTAATAGAGAGGGTACAGTGGGTAAAGGAAGGGCAGGTGAATGGGGGAAAAATAAGGATCAAGATATATTATGTAAAGGTACAAATCTCCAATGATGAATGTCATTGTATTTATACCTAAAATGTACCAATAAAATTAATTTTTAAAAAATGGAATTAAGAGCATTTGAAGTATTTAGTGTATGTTAGGGAAAGAGGACAGTGGAGAACATTCATAAAATTATAGCTATGAGAATAATTTCATAGAATTTTTGATAGAACTAGAATACTATCAGAAAAGTAACTACTTAGTTATGACTATTATTATGACTAAATTACATAAGCCATGCAAAATATGTATGAAATTTTCAGTATATAATAAAAATTTTCCACAAAAATAATTGCATTTATTTTCTTTTTCTCTGCAATTAGCATATGAAACTAAGATAAAAGAAAATGGGCAGTGTAACAAGGACCAGCAACTCCAGAATACCTGAAGACTTTCTTGGCCCACAAAAGGATCAGCATTTGACTCAGAAACTAGGAGAAAAAAAGAAAGAACTATAACCAAAACATAGAAAATACACAAGTGTCATTTGACTAGTGGCTTTATTAACAACTAATATAAACAAATTGACTGACAATAGCCAACTATAAAGTGCATTTACAATATTGTCATATGAACGACCCACTTGACTTAAGTTTAGATGTCAGCAGTAAATCTAAGATGAGTATCGGGTCAACTTGACTGAAAGTTTGCTTTTGCAGCCAAATATGGTGGTCATACCTGTACTCTCACCACTCTGGGAGGCTGAGGCAGAAAGATTGCATATTTAAGCCCAACCCAGGCAACTTAGTGACTTAAAAAGATTCTGTCTCCAAATAAAAAGTAAATTAGTTAAAAAAAATGTTAAATAAATAAGATGAGCTGGGAATTCATTTTTGTATTTGCTAATAGTAGGTAGTTTTAAATTTTCAGATAATCTGAAAATCACAATAACCTTGAAGATAGGTATTATGATCACATTTTATAGTTAAGAAAGGTGCAAAAACTTGAAAATAGAGAATTAAAATACAGTAAAACTAGAAAATGAGACCTGATTTGCCTTATTTACACTTTTTCTTGGTTTAAAATATGCAATCAAATTTAAAAGAAATTGTGTGACATCCACTGCAGTATAGACATTCTCCCCTGAATGAAAATAACATTCAGAAGATGGTAGTCAAGTCTTCCAGTAATGGATCTATGAGAAAGATTCAGAGACATATTACTTCATGTATCTAATCTTCATTTAGCAGCCTGGAAGCAAAGTTCTTACTTATGAAGAGATCTATATATGAACAAGGAGGTGGATTTTAGGAAGTGGTCATTCAATCTTTTTTAAACCTGGAACTCTGCGTACAGAACAGAGGTTAGATTAGAGAAGACAAGGCAAATGAAGAGGGATCAGTTCAGGGCCTATTAGAGTAATGGTGAAAGTCAGAACTAGTAGGGGGTACTCAAGAAGGCTAAGAAAGAATGGTTGATGGAGGATGGGAAAACAGTGATGACTTCCAGGACCCTGTGCTGTAGTAGATGACCAAAGATATATCATGACAGTGATGGTGACAGCCAATAGTCACTGAACACCTTTTTTGCAAGGAATTGATTTAGGTACTCCATGCAAATTTGACCCTCTAAATTATATGAGGAACAGGAACAACTTAGGAAAACTGAGGCACACAAAGGTAATTAACATGAGAAAAGCATAAAGGCAGAGGAGGTCTTAATATTAACCTATACTAAAGGACTAGAATGGGCTAGACCTTAAAAGGGATTCTGGGTACTGCATTAGGAAAAGATAAATACAGGACACCTGCTCTTCTCCCCTTCTTCAAAATATAAAACTATTTTATCCACAAATCCCAACAATCGTTTTCCCTGTCTATTGTCTTTTCAGAAAGTACCTACAAAATTTTGAGATCTTACTTGTATAAATAAGAATGTCACTTTAATATAATAATCCCCAGGAAGATAAAACCAAATGCAATAATTAAAAACTGAGGCTATTTCTCAAAAGATATAATGATACCAGACAAACGTTTTCTTAAAAGCTAAAAATAAACTATTTTCTTGAATGACCAGTGGTAATCTTAACTGTTTCAAAATAATACTTCATACCAGCTCTTTTTATGAGAATATAAATATTCAACAGGAAAGGCAGCATATATTAATACCAGAGAATGGCTCTTTAAAATGATCAAGATGTTATCAACTGTAGATGATTGTAAATTAAAAACAACATCTCAAATGAAATCAACTGTTCAAGGGAATAATTAAACATTATAACCACTATCTAGTTTGGAAAACTACTGAGATTAGAAACCATTGTCAGATTTGATGGCATTAGTAATTCCCAGGTTGCCTTTCAAATAAAATTATTTGAAACACATTCAATATATGACAAAACTTTAAAGTATCTTCTCTTGCTGACTTTTAAATTATTTCCTTTTAGAGGTACTCACAGATGCATTCTCTTCAGGTTTTTCTAAACACAGTACAAAATGTTTACATAACAAAGAATTTT